GGCTACCCAGACGAAGGTATACAAAGAAACACACGAGCCGTGAAGAGCCGGTGGCAGAACGGGGACTATGAATGAACAGTAAGTACGGAGAAGGATTCATAAAAGTAGATATGCCCACCATTCTGTGAACCAACTCAAAAATTATGGCCAATACTAGAGAATTGGAATATTCAGGTGAACATGAAATAAAAAGCAACACTCTTGACAAGGGTGGACAAATTGAATTGTTCTGGAGTTTACTGCATAGCAGACTACGCCTGCAAACATAAATATATTGGCGAAAAAGGGATAAAAATCAGAATACGAATTAAGGGATATTAAAGGAAAATGGATACCGAAAGATAAAAATTAGTGGAACACTCGCAGATTGGACACGAGATCAATAGTAAGGCAGCGGAAAGAAGGGCCTCGTACGGTGAAAACAAGTGGAAACGGAAGATTAAGGAGGCAGTTAGCGATAACTTTGCATAATGCCTAATCAAATTTAGGGAAAACGGAACTATACGGTCATGGAACTATGGATACGAATAATCACCATCATCATATAAATTCGGTACTAAGGTCAAAATACACTATAAATCCACTCGAGATGCAGGCGACCACAGTTTACTCAGATTACACGGGTTGAACCAAGAAGACGGTCCATCAAGGCAATGCGTAATATGTGCAGGCACGGGAATCAGAGCCTAGGCGCTTTGCTCGGTGAGGCTGCAATGTATGTGATTGTATGCGCCCGAGCAATAGGGCACGTAGATCAACGTAAACTGGGACTAGAATCGAATGAAATCGGCCAAACAGAAAGATAAGAAATGGATGTACGGGCCCATGAGACAGATGCAGATTAGAGGCCCAAGTCGGATTAGCCAATCGAAAGAGAAGAATGCAATGTGGACGGAAAGTGCGATGATGCCAGACCAAACTTGCCAAAAAGGTCCCACCTTTAGGGCAGGAGTCTTATAAGACGATAAAGGGGAGAGATCGGCCAGGAGAGAGAGGTGATAGCACAAGCTACTCAGTAACAAAAAATAGCACCACCATCTCGGCAGAAAGCTTGCCAAGGAAATGACTTACTTGTTTATTTGGCGAGTTCTAGCTTGATACTGGGACTGGCAAGACTCACTGATGATGCCGGCGAAGTGCCTGAAAGGGTACCAAGTCCAAGGTCTGATGCTTAATTATGATAACTACTGTAGCAGAGGACTTGAGTCAAGGTACATCCAACTAAGCACCCCTTGCAACAAGACCAAGTTGCGAAAACGAGATCAACTTAAATGGAATAAGCTCCCCCAGCACATTTGACAACTTCGTCCATTAGTTCTCTGCAGTAATGTTAATCTGAGCCAACTAATAACTATTTTAACTAAAAAAGTCTCCCGGTAAGCATAGACGTCGACAGGAGCGTGTTCTGCCCTCTGCTGGTTTCAGTTACTATTTGAGTCTAAGTGATGATTATTCTTTTTGTTTAATTAACTTTGTGAAAAGGGATTACTTGCACGCATATCTACATATACATATGCGTATAAGGCAATAAGGTCCATACCCTTTGAATAGAGCTTGTTTAGCCAAACATCTTTAAATAAGATTGTGGGGCTAAATTTGCAAAAGCAAAATTTTAACAGAGAAGGATTCTAAAGAAAGATTAGTGGAAAGGCAGCGAATCCTAAAAAAGAACGGTGAGCATCATACTAGGTGAAACAGACAAAATTACCCCATGGTACACAGAAGGACACGAACACTTATGTGAGATAATCAGATGGGATAGTGTATGGTATTATACTGGCGGGAAAAAGTTCACCGTCTAACAAAATGAAGGCACCAGTTATGGAATAAAACATCTATCTTTCATGTAGTTGCACATAAATAAGTGGATGAAATCGTGGAGCCAGAATGTAAAAATAAAAAAGGAAAATTAGGCTTTGTAAAAGTTGGTTACTCTTTATTTGAGATATGACAAAAGACAATGAAGCAAAATGCATAAAAATGTGTATATAATGACCATTTAATGAAGAAAATAAAAAAAAGATCAAATGACAAAATATTGCTTTAGCTCGCAATTCAGATCAGCTTTAAAACCACGAGTCAGAATGATCTTTGCAGATAAAGGACATGACGACAAAGATTGTCGGGAATATAATGGTATTTCCTGCTAGAAGTAGCCCACATGAACCCCATTTTATCTATATCCTTAATTAAATAACGTTAACGTACAGTAGGGTTAGCTGCAGGGTTTCTGGCAAGGGTAACTGGAAAAGCATACGAAGAAAATATAATTATGGCCGTAATGAACAGAGTCATATTATGAAAGGATGTTTGTGATGAAAAAAAGTCACTAGAGGAGCGACTAATATCAATAAGAAGAGGTATAGGCGCAGCTGCGTAAAAGATAAGCAAAAACATTGGCCACCAAACGCTAAAAATAATTAAAAGTATGGATTACTTGAAGACAGGTAGAGCACATCCCAAGAGTATGAAAGTGAAGCCAAGAGAAATGAGGAAGGCTGAGACAAATAGGACTGGCAACTAATTATTTAAAACACAAACCTTTAGTGGATAGCATGCTATAAATATTAATTTAAGCCTATTTGAATCCCAATGAGGCTACATCCAATGCACCCAAGGAAGTTGGGAAGTCGGCAAGCGACTTAAGACACGAGCATGATAGACCACGGACGATTAAAACAGCAGATTGCATAAGAGTATGGTGGAACAATTGTCAACGTTTAAATTGCTCGCATACTGTTTTGATACACTTTATTCATACAAATATCACTAGTTAAATACAGTAACCAGAAGCTCAATCTTTAGAAGACATTCTATATTTGCCTTTTCAGGCTCTTAATGAACCCGGACCTCTCACAACCTTTCCCCAGAGTTTAACTATGCTTTATATTTAATAGCCCTGTCTTTTTAAGAAACAAGTTATGTAATTATGGTATGGAGTGCATGAAGCTATTATGCCTATGAATAATTCACATACTGAGTTTCAAATCAAGTAAGTTAAATATCAAGGTATCCTAGC